TACATATACTAATTTTCCATGGTGAATGTAATCATGGCATACTGCAAATGTGCTAATGAAAATTTTAAAAATCAGAAATATGAATTCATGTAATGTATCTGGACGTAGGTTAGTTAAGAGTACCTGATAAGGTCCTGTCTACAGGACTGAAGGGAGTCTTAGAGTTGGTGTCTTTTCCAGTAAATGTAATCTACGGGCCTCAAGTTGTGAAGTTTCCTAGGAAGACATTGTTGAAGGGATCGTGACAAAAATTAGTATTATACTGCAGGTTAATGGAACTCCCTGCAATAATGCCTGAGACCTTTGTTAATGAGCCCAGTTAAAAGTCCTTCATCCAGGCACAAAAATGACTGGTAATTATCTCAAAAGGATAAAACTTCCTGTCTTCCTGCAGGAGTGAAAAGATGGTTCAGAAAACTAAAGGAAGGGCCTTGGGCCTTGGTAGACTGCATGTTGCACAAATTCTTGCCAGTTGAATTTTATTTTTCCATTGGTTCGTTACACTAGCCTCAAGGATTGGAGATGATATGCCCAACAGAAATGCTGGAAGATAGGCCAGATGTTACAGACACTTTGAATAATTTATCCTGGAAAATGTGTCCCTCAGTCACTATAATATTTCCGCATAACCCTTTGTGGGAGTATAATTTTGCTGTTAAAGCCTTAGCTACTGCTATGGCTGTGACATGGTGGCAGGGAAAAGCCTCAACTCAGGGTAAAAACGTGTAAATAAAGAACAGCGTGCATTCACATCCTGGGGAAGGCACGTTGAATGAGGTCTACTTGACATACCTCAAAAGGAGCATCAGGCCAGGGGAAATGACCCGTGGAGTCATGAGATGGCTTTCCAGGACTGTGTCGGGGATATGACAGAGTTGGTGAACCCGAGAAGCAATCGTGAATGAGGCCTGCAACGTGATTTTCCCCACTGGACCATCTCGTCAGTTTTCCAGTGAGTCAAGTCACCAATAAAATACAAAATTTCTTTTTGTAGGCCATGTGGGAAATTGGGGCACAAGAAGGCCCATCCAAAGACTTCTCCATTAATCAAACAAACAACCCTGTTTTTGCCCATTTCCCCCTTCAACCACAGAGGAAGTGGCTTGGGCTTTTATTTGCCCACGGTATAAACCTGGGGTTGAGAAGGTGATAGAAACGGAAAAGCTTTTAGAGACTATATCATGTGGGTACTCTTGGAAGACAGCTGCCTTGCAGTGACATTGGCTACATTATTTCTTCTGCTTTGTTCCATGGGGGAAAGGGAATGGCCCTGGACTTTAAGGAATAGAGAGCTCTGCTATGAAATACTCAGTCCTTATTTTTCTATTTGTTGTCTTGAGGAAGTTACACATCCTCTCTGCTTCCAAGATGTATCAAAGTCATCTGCCGCTGCAAAGGCATTTCTCCTGTCTGTATAAACAGGGCCATCCTGTCTGTAGCTAAGAGGCCTGCTTCAGTGATGACGTGTAGTTCAGCTGCTGTACAGATTTGGTCTCAGAAAAGGCCCAGCTATAATCTCATCAAGGAGGCCATAGCGTAGATGGCATAGTAGTGACCCTGAGCCCTGAGATACGATCCTCTGTAAACCAACTGAGGAAGTTCTTGTAGACGTAGTCAGGGGGTAGAGAGTTGAGCAGATGAGGCAGTGCTGCTGTGAGGAGTGTCCAGGGAGGGAGGGAGGAGGGCAGCAGGGTTGGGCAGATTATATCAGATGAGTGAGTTGAGGTAAGGAGAGGAAGATGATTTTACACTCGCGTGATTAGAGGAGAGGGCTTAGGCAGGGTGAGAGTTCATCGGAATGTAGATGTGAGGGGAGATCTCCCGGCTCTCTTTTCTGTGGCTTTAATGAGAATGGAGGTGGCAGGAATTGCCTGTAAACAGGCAGGTAGCCAATATCATCTAGCCTGTCCTGTCTTCTGTGGGATTATAACACCTAGTGCATTTCCTTCCTATTGATGAATAAATAAGTGAAAAGAAAGCGAATGATTAGACATTTCAAGTAGGAGCTAAGGTCAGTTTTTTATATCCTCAAAGAACTTTCCATCAGACGACTATTATATAAGACGGGGAGAGGAATTTTCAGTAAATTGCGAAGGAGTGAGACATCAAAGCAAAGTCTCGTAGCCAGTTCTGGAAGTAACTTCCAAGTACAAAAATCCTCTGTATTATTCCTCTTTCCATTGCTATAACAAAGGCCTGAGGTAAATCAGCTTAGGAAAATTCTGGCTCAGTTTTGGAGGTTTCAGTTCACGGTCGCTTGGCCCTTTGCTCTTGGGCCAATAGCAAGGCAGTGTGTTTGTTGTGAGGGAAGCTCACGGTGGAGGCTGCTCACCTCACCTCACGGCAGCTGGAAAGCACGGTAATAGAGGAAGGGTCGGGCCCCAGCACTGCAATGTAGAGCACACTCTTAGTGGCCTAATGTCTTCCCTCTAGGCCTGCTCTCTTAACAGTTCCACCACCTCCTCACAGAATCATGAGCTGATGACCAGCCATTAACACAGGGACCCGGTGAGGCACATTTGTGCAAGTCCTGTCATCCATAAAGCTGTCTCTTAGTGTGGGAAGTGGAACAGCTAAAATGCCTGGAGGGCAGGAAAGGCTGACAGTCAGATCCTTCGGTGTCAAGAGGGATCCTGAATATTTGACAAAATTCTGACATAACTGATTATTTTTTGAGATCGTAAGCCGTAGATGACAGACTGTGGAGTAAACGAATGCTGTCAGTCAGGCAAGGTTCTTGGGATGGAGAAAACAAAAAATAGATCATTTACATATTGAATAAAGGTTGAACTAGATTAGAAGGAGACATCAGCTAAATCAGCACTAACAATTCATCCAGGTCCTTGTTACTGTCACCTCCCAGATGAAGGCAAAGAGGTATCCACTGCCAGAGTGTGCTGGAGCTCTAAGGAAGGTGGTATAGGTGTCAACAGTCAAAAATAGTGATTCTGAGGGGAGCATTGGGAAGCAGGCATGAAGGTCAGGGTCGAATGGGTGCTGGGGAAGTGACTATGTTATTAACAGTTCTGAGATCCTCCCATCTTTTCTGCTAAGGTTGTGGACAGGTAGAATGGGGGTCCCGCAAGAGCTGATACAGGAAACAATAATCTTCTCATGTGCAAAGTCATTCATTATGGGTTGTATACCAGCCAATACGTCGGGATTAGTGGGTGTTGTTGGAGAGACTTGTTATGGTCCACTTAGACTTTAATTGGAGATTTTGAAAGGTATGATTATATCAGTATTAGGGTGAACCCGACACTTTGGGTAATTCTAGAGGGGCAGAGGGGCAGGGTAAGAGCAGGCTGGGTAAGGGCTAGCTCTGGAAGACCAGAGTCTTCTGGTAGGGTTCATCCTGGTGTCATTTCCAAGGGATACATGTCTGATATCCTTCCAGGAAAACATCTCCCCAAAAGACGGATAGGTACGGACATGTGGAGTAAGAAATAGTACCTTCCCCCAAAGAAGGCTGAATTGGAAACAAATGGGTAGGGATTTGAGAACTGCCCTAAGTTGCTTAGCACTACAAACATCTTGATAAAGTCAGAACTCTGGAGAGGAAGCCATTGAAATTCTGTCAGGGTGAAGAACAGACTTGTAGCTTCAAGGTTAACCAGAGCACCAGATAATTTATTCCCAAACTTACAGGTAATTCCCCCAGTTGGTTTTAAGTAGGGGAAATGTCCCCAGACCAATTCAGGCTAGCTTGGATGGAGAAAGGGAAGTAACTTTGTTACAGTCTGAAGACAGCCCATTTTCCAATGGCCCATGAGGGCAGAAAAGGCAGCCTTCTGACCTGAGCTGCATTGGTGATCAGATGACCCTCTTTACTTGTCAACCGAAGGCCATCACTTTGGCGGTTTTCCCCTGGGAATGTAAGGCTCTGGTAATTCTAGGTTCTTTCCTTTTTCTATGGTGCTGGACAGCTGTGAGCTAGGGAGGCTATTTCATGGGACATTTTGCCGCCCAGTAGAGACTGTGCTTTTCAAATAGGGTGCTGAGAGTGGAAAGGCCAGCCACAAGTACCAAATCCATCCAAGTAATTGAGGACTGACTCATTCTTTTGAGGGTGCAATGTTGGGCTGCCTTCCAGGTCATGTGATGAGGGAAAAATCAAAGGAGTGGCCCCTCTAATGCTAGCTTCCCTTCATTGATTTACAAAATCCTCATCTGGAGTCTGGTTTGAAATCCC